TATTAAAAGTTGGTTTTAAAATTATCCTAAGTTCTAAACATTTTTAATATTTTATTGAATACGCTTATTATGACTGATGACAGATGACACAATACCCAAGGTAACCTAACCTAACCATATCTACTTTTCTGAAGTTGTTATATTAATAACATAAAAGTTATAACATCAACAGTATGACATCTAAAATTATGAAATTGTTGAACCAATTATTTAAGAATGTATTTATTGATTATTTCATTTACATATTTATTAATAATTTTGAGTATACATTTGTGCGTTTTAATCTAGGTAGGTAGGTAGGTACTAAAAAATAGTAGGCACTTGTAAAGTATTTTGAATACTTTTAAAATGTATTTGTATATTTTATATTTAAATACAAATGAAACCAAGTATTTAAATTTTAAATAATAAATACGTATTCTGAATACATTTGAAAAATATTCTTAACAAGACTGTATATAATTAAAATGAGATGCTATTTATTGACATTATATTAGGCCTTATACTAGGCTAATTTTAGCTGTTGAATGGTTTCCCACTATACCCACTATTCACTAACAACCATAAAGCTATTAGGATATCTGTATCATTATTCATTAACTATCTATAGGTACTATATTTACCACTTATTAAGTTCTTGGCATATTATAAGGTATTAAGGTCAAAGTATACCTAAGTATAAGTATTAAGGTCTATGGTTCTTATTAAATTGTAAAAAAATGCTAAATTTAATATAAAAAAAATTGGGTGGTACATTTTTAATGTTCAAGGTTTTGACGGAAATAATTTTTGTGTTCAAGATTTTGACATTCAAGGTTTTGACGGAAATAATTTTTGTGTTCAAGATTTTGAAATTCAAGGTTTTGACGGAAACAATTTTTGTGTTCAATATTTTGACGTTCAAGGTTTTGACGGAAACAATTTTTGTGTTCAATATTTTGACGGAAATAATTTTTGTGTTCAATATTTTGAATGTTCAAGATATTGACATAAATTTATGTTCAAGATTTTACCGTTCAATATATTAAAGTTCAAGATTTTGACGTTCAACTATTTGACATTCAACGGTATAAATGGCGTCCAAAATGTTTATATAAATCACAACTCAAAATAGTTAGCAAATTTTCGTGATATTGATGAATTTTGTAAAAATTCTTAATTGAGATGCGCATAAAGAAATATTGTGAATTTATGCTCAACTCTTTTTTTAATTTCCATTAACAAGTAACAAAAACTTATAAGAAACCTTGTCTTAAATGTTCAAGTATTTGAATCTTTGCAGCTCTAGTGAGGCTTAGGCGCTTAGCCATTTGAACAGGTTTTCAAGCACCGGCGTAACACCGTCGGGTCTCAACGGAGAAAATACCGCAATGTGGCCCGATTATTGATAAACATTTTGAATTAAAAAAGGTGGGTAAGTGGATGTCGCTCTGCTGTACAGTAGGTTACAAGTGGGTTACTATAATGGATGGTGTTAAATTTGAATTCAATGATATAATATCATTGTATATTTGTATAAGAAAAACAATTCTGAACGAAAACGGTCAGTCAGCCATATTACTATAAGACGTATAATATGTGATGATATTATTGTGAATAAAGTAATTTATATATTTATCATTTTAGGTGGACCCTTGTTTTAAATTTTCATTCCTTAGCTATAAAAGTTGAACATTTTATAAGTTTTTAACTATAAAATAATTATTAAATTTTAAATTTGATAGTTTTTGTCAAAATTCAAACTTCAAATGCTTATAAAAAAAAATTGTGCCTATGTATTTTTAATATTTTTCAACTGCTATTGTTACAATATATCAGGAGCCTTGCATTTTTTTTTGTTGATAAAGGTAGATAAACTTATGAGTAATCTTGTATTACATTTTAAAATCTTAGATTTAAAAAGAAAAAATGTTATGAATTCAAAATAATTTGCTAATTTTCGTGATTTTTCCGTATTTTGTCAAGATTTGAACTTTAAATGCTTAAAAAAAAATGTAACTAAGGATTTTTAATACTTTTCAACTGCTATTTTAACAAAATAGTAGAAGCCTTGCATTACATTTTCAATCTTTTTTACCCAACAAATAAAGTTTTATTGATATTCATAGAAAAAAAGACTAATAAAATTGGAAACTGGAAATGTTATTAAACAGTTCAAAACAAAACGAAATGTTTTGAAAATGTTATCGTATATAGAAAATGCATACATATATAAACGACCAGTGAAAATTTCATGTTTAAACGTTAATTTGTTTTAGAGTTAGGTACACCAAAATCCAATATTAATTTTGTGTAAAACCGATTTTGAGTAAAAATTCTCGTTATTCCTTAATTTTTGTGTTGTTTTTCCCGGCGCTTATGAAAACTATTGGAAATTTTAAAATTTGAACTCCCGAAGCACCAACTAGATTCACTTTCCCATGTGATGCATCGAACAACATACTGTTGAAGAAAATCTAAGCAGTTTCACTGCCCCAAACCGTGATGACACACAAAAAAAAAAACACATCATTGTAAAATCAATACATTCATAGTTCCACTCAGAATCTAAAATTAAAACCTATTTCTAATGAACTATGACATAATAAAGCAAAATATAAAAAATTAGGTTTTTATTTTCATGGTTTTTTTTTTCCGTGATTCGTTATTATTGCATCCTCCATCCATAAGGCCTATGGCTATTCCTCAACGCACGCATTAATTAAATAGTATAAGTTAAAGTTAAACAGCCATAGTACCAGCCGCTGCGCGAGTGGTTATATTTTACATAGAGTTGTTTGGCAAACAAGAGAAACATTTTCTTCAATTTTAAATAAGTACGCCAATTATGTGAAACAATATTACAAAAATGGTGTCACTATTGTTTTCGATGGATATCCAGATGATGCAACTATAAGTACCAAACCAGTAGAACGCTATCCAAGAGCAATTCGTTATGGAACTGCAAATGTACTTTTTGACAATGTGTGTAACGACGTCTCAAGAGCAATTCCTTTCCAATGATACCAACAAATAACGTCTTATATTTTTTTTACGGGAAAAATATTATTAAAAAGTTGTATTAATTGGGGATGAATTTCTATTTTTTGAGTGTACTATCTTAAATATTGATACTACGCAAAATACATAAAGTACTATTATGGTAGCTATATATTACTAATTAAAGTTTCTTATAAATATTTGTAAAGTTGAAGGATTCCTGTGAATTTAGAAAAAACTGGTCAAAGTTTTAGGAAATTATAAAAGTTTTTGGTCTCTAATCTCTTAAATATTAATAATATGCACAAAACTTGAAGTACTATTATTGTAGCCACAGCTAGTATATATTTACGAAATAAGTTTCTTATAAATATGTTGTGAGGTTGATGGTTTCCTGTTAATTTAAAATAATTAGCTTTCCACTAATTAATTCCTAATTGGGACATTTTTTTTTCTAATTTGACTGGCCTAATATGGAATAGAGTAAACCATGATAGAAATAACTTATTTCTATCATGGAGTAAACAACGACCAACATTAAAGCGCTGAAAATAGATAGTAACAAAGGCGTACAAACTATTTGTTCAAAAATCTCAAAAAAAGTATATTTCATAAACATTTTGATTATTGTGTAAATAATTAAATTATGTAATTATGCAATCTGTAAAAACATTTTGCACTTTTGACTCACCACAAAGTACCAACTTTATTCACTTTCCTACCGAAAAACATTTTTAAGTTAAAAATTGAAGTATTTTTTAACTATAAAAGGCATTTGCAGACAAAAAAAAACACACATCATTGTAAAACCAATAAATTTATCGCTACGCTCAGAATGACAGAATCCGAAATGACATCCAATTTAAAGTAATGATACCTCTACAAAACAAGTGGTTTGGATTTTAAATGCGGTGTACATTTATGAAAAATGTATTACGTACCGTGTGACTAATTAGTAATTAACTACTGCTGTTTGTAACTATGACATCAAATAATACAGAATCATAGCCAATTGAGACAAATTTTTAATCAAACTATTTTTTTTTTTTTTTAGTTATTACTATAGTTATTAGTTACCAATTGATTCTGATAACTCACCATGCATTCTTTTCCCCGTTCGTGATAGTTATTTTTATAAATTGTTTACATTTTTACTTGGTAATTTCTATTGAGTATCCATAATAATTAAATAATTAATGCGATTTTTCCGGTTTGTGGATAGAGAACTAAAGCAGCATGGATTATACTAATCAGACTGGCCATGTACTTACGATAACTGAAACAAATTGTACATGTACTAGATCTCTACAGGCTACAATCTTTAATTTTAAAGCTGAAAACCTCATAACAAATAATTTCATAACACCCTAGAACACCTTATACAAACATATAATATATAGCATGTATGAATATATTATGTATAAATAGGTATCATACAAATAAATATAAATATGTCATTATTAAATTTAAGTAGATTTTATCATTTCATATTTTACAAATAAAATTTAAGTAAATTTATCGATTACTACTGATACTAATACTATTGATACAGTAGCTTTATTATTATGAAAATCTAATATAGTAACTACTATTATGCAGTGTAAATAAATAATATGTTTTAAAAAATTTTAATTTGAGTGATAATAGTAATTGTACTTTTCTAATCTATATAATTATAATTTATAACAATTATAAAAATATGTTATTTAGAAAGCAGTTTGCTATCTATATTTAAATTCAATCAATTTTTATTTACAAAGTATTTTTTGTTATCATAATAATTATATGATACTTGTACTGAAAATAAATCAACTTTATAAATTACAATCAGAAAATATTTGTTCTAAAAAGTACAAATTAAAATGTTCCATTCATAAAATAAATGTTGGTCATATTATTTTTATTTTAATTACATCAATTATATTGGAATAGAAAAAAATATTTCTTTATTAAAAGAAACATTACACATCATATTTTTTTCAGTAATGGACTTAATAAAAAGAACATTTTTGAATAAAATATTAATAACCTTCTTGCCATTGTTTGGTATCTAGCTTTGCTTGAATGACTTCCAATTGTCTTTTAGCTTCACATTGTGGGAAATTTTGTAAATCATAATATTGTGGAGCATATTTGAGTAACCATTCCGCTAAATAAAAACAGTTAACAATTATTATAACATGGTTTACAATAATGTTAATTATATCAAACACTTACGTTTTACTTCACTAACAGTCCTTATGTAATTTTTGGTGGTTAATACAAACTCATTGTAAATTACCCATTCAGGTTTATGACCTAAGACCGTTGAAGGATGCAATTGGACTGTCTGATTGTCTTTTATTGTTAAATAATGTCCAGTCCGTTCTAAGTGCGCAACCTTAAAAGTTAGATAGGTAGTTATAAAAACATTTATACATCATAATTTAACTATTCATTGTAAAAAAAAAAAATTTGAGGACTTCATAAGAATTATTTGAAACCCTGACAATTTTTATAAAATTAATTATTATTTGGGCGAGTTTAATTCATCTGGTTTATATTACATTAACAATGGATTTACAATTCATTGGAAAAATAAATTAAAACTATAAATATCTTGAAACCCAATATTTCCCAAATATTAAATTGTTCTTATGCCTAATGCCTACATACTTAAACTAACAAGTCAGTAATATAACTCTGCAATTTCCGTGTAAGTGGACAATGTTTAAATACCAACTCAATCAGTTTTGAATTTTCAAACAATAAAAATTGTCCAAGTACTCAAAAAAAAAAAATATATAATAATTTACCAACTCTATCAGTTTAGTATCACCTTGTGAAGAATAATTAAAAATCTTACCTGCATAAAGAATCCTGTAGTTAGAGATTTACGGATATTTAAATAATAATCCTTGGAAGTAAACTCAGTGGATGTTCGTTTTAAATTGAAACGGTCCATGATACGAGATAATTGTTGACGGACGTTATCACCAGACTTTAATGATCGATAGTTAATGAAATTATCATAGCACCATTGAGGATCTTCATTATCTAATTTAAAATGATTAAAATTTAATATCATATACCTATATCATGGCATTATAAGTTTAAATTTAGATTCTAACTTACTTTGTTTAAATGCGTGATAGATATTGAGTAAGGTAAGATGATCCCCATCGATGTGGGCAAACCTCATTTTTGAGTCGTCGGATGCTTTCTTTGCTTCAGATGGTCGAACAAAACATTGTGGGACTAAACAAGACAATCAGGGGAGGCAGGCCAGACGGGTACGCCCGGATAAGGCCATTGTGCCTCATTTAATAACCAGCAACATACACCTAAGTAACTAACCTTATGTTAAAACCCTACCATTACACTTTGCAATTATGTTTTTTTTTTTTTTTTTTGAAAAATAAATTAAAAGAATAGACTAGATAAATATGCTATACACTAAATATTAAGTTATTTTGCTAATGTAGAAAAACATATTATGCATAAATAAAAGTATTAGCAAAATGTTTTACTAAAAATTCTAATGTTATTGATATTAATTATCTAAAACTTGTTGAAATGTGCAAAATAGGAGACAAAATAAATAATAAATAAAATTTAATGTAAGATCAATCTCAGATTGTGTAAAGAAAATTAAAACTTATTGCAATAAGAAAATGTTCATCAGATTTCGTAACAGAGTACAGAGCAATTAATTTAAAATTTAGCAAAGTGCTATAGAAATTTATGTCATATACTATGATTTTAAATTTAAAGTTTGAAAGTGCTTATTTATTTGCTTATTTAAATGAATTTTTTAAGCTTAGAATTTTGAATGTTTATTTTCTTTGAATTATATATTTTCTACTTTGAGATGACTAGATACATAATATTATTATAATATTAATAAATTTGTTTTTAACAGTTTAGAAAACATAATGCTCAGTGTCTTATTGAGGATTTTTTTCTTAGGTTATACCATTTAGATTCATTTAGGTAATAATTATTTAATTTGAAAAATATATTTTATACCACAATAGATCTATATTTAAAGCATATATTTATGGGACACTATTCTAATGTGCAATCTACTGTATGTTATACTATTTAATTTATAAAAATTATTCAGTGATGAATATGCATTATATAAATTGTTAAAACAAAATGGTTAAATTAAGAAAGTTAATCACAACAATAACTTTATTGATCCTACTACAGGAGCTAAAATTCAACATATTGAAAATGTATGGTATAAGATAGAACTTTAATATTCTGGGATTCTTAGCAACGGGGTAGCATAATGAAGGCAGTTACAAAAATAATGATACAATTCGGTTTCTGTAGAAAATATGCAAAGGTGCATTAGAACTATATTTTTATTAAAGAAAAAAATCAATATTAGGTACATACTATAACATAGTAGATCGCACATAGGATTGGTGCCCATTAGGTTAGGTTAGAAATAATGAAGTTATATCTAATAAATACTGATAAATATTAAATATGATTATTAAATTATGAACCAATAATATTTTGCCTTCAGTGAATACAAGTATTTATGTTAAGAAAGTTAGGTACCTTAGATTTTTTTTATGTGCATGTATCTTAAATATAAACTATGTTTTATATTATATGGATGAAATTGTTTATTATAGCAAACATAACTTAAAAATAGTAATATAGAATTACCCCAAAAAAAGTTATACAACATTAGAAACTTGTAAATTGAGTTGTATAAAATATAAATTGTATAGTATTCACTAAAAAGTAACAGTTTAAGCAATTATTTATAAAACATAAAATTTGTGTAAACATTAATTTTCAATTAGCATGTTTGTATAAAATTGTTTCTTTAAAGAATAAAATTGGATTTTAAAAATTCTTAAAAATTTGAAAAATAAAAATACAGGGGTGCGAATACTACGTACGTATGAAATAGAATATTTTAATAGTAACGCTAATAAAGTTATACTTTGTACGATACTGACTATAGTTAAAGGTACATTTAATAACAAAACAAGGTACAAAAAAATGATAATTAGTGTCATCCGTAGTGAATGTGTCTAATAAATTCTTAAGGGGACGTTACAGTGACATTTGTTGTTTCCGTCTTACAAGTGATTAACATAGCAAATTTTACCCTCAGCAAAACACGTTTATCTCCCGTTGGTTAAAAAATTAGAGCGAATTTACCCCTTATAAAATTTAAAGGTAAGATTATTATCTAGACAATGACAGGCTTTTTGTTATATTTTAATTTTAAAGCGAGTTATGAGTATTTTAAGATGTACAAACGGTTTACAATTTTAAAATACACATAACTCGCTTTAAAATTAAATTATAATAAAAAGCCTATGTCATTGTCTAGATAATAATCTTACCTTTAAATTTTATAAGAGGTAAATTCGCTCTAATTTTTAAAAAAAAATGGGAGATAACGTGTTTTGCTGAGAGTAAAATTTGCTATGTTACACACTTGTAAGACAAAGAAAACAAATGTAACTGTAACGGCCCCTTAAACATCAGAAATGAAAGATATCCGAAAAGTTAAATAATATTTGAATTTTTTTTAACTAAGTAGTTTCTTTGTAACCACAATCAGTATAATGCACGTTAATGAAATGGAATACTTTAGAAAGTGTCAATGTATAATGTGCCAATGCAATAAAGAAAACATAAGGTACTGAAAGAACTTTCAGAAGTCTATCCATACAAAATATTAGTATACTATAGCAGGGGTCTCCAAACTACGGCCCGCGGGCCGGATGCGGCCCGTGAACAAGTTTTAACCGGCCCGTGGCCCGCATAGGTAAATAAAGATAAAAAAATTATTTCAAAAATGTATTTATATTATATTATATTTATACCTATTTATTTTTATTTAAGTATATTGTAAAGTAAACAATATTCTATACAAAAATATAAATTAAATATATTATTTATATAGGTACCTATATTATCATAAAGTTAAAAATTATATGTTTTAATAAACTTTTGGCCCGCTAAGAGCATTTGATTTTTTTTGTGGCCCTTGAATAAAAAAGTTTGGAGACCCCTGTACTATAGTATAATATATATTAATATATATCCTTAAAAGACTTAAAATTAATAAATGCCTAACATAACTATTTTGTAAATGTACGACCACTTAAAATATAGATAATAAAGTACTGATTGTTTTTTTCCCCAAATATAAAAATAACGGAAATTGGAAAAGTTTAAAAATGTTATTTTTCAATTATATAATTAACTAACCTGACAACATAGCTGTTATCGAAAGGATTTCATTAGAGCAACTAAGTGAACATGAAGCAATCAACATCTTTGCTAACTGTGGATCTAGAGGAAACTCAGCCATAATATTGCCCAAATCTGTAAGATTACCATCATCGTCCAGAGCCGATAAATAGTTAAGTAACTCCAAAGCTCTCATTAAAGTTTCTGGTGCTATAATTTTCAAATTTATTATGAGTCATGAAATTAAATTTCAATGAATTATAAAATAAAATAAGTGACATTTACCTGGAGGATCCATAAAATCAAAATGTACTAAATCATCGATACCCAGTTTCTTTAGTTGTAACACTACTGAACCTAAATTTGAACGTAATATTTCAGGATATGTATTTTCTTGCATTTCATTTTTGTATGCTTTCTCGGTATATAACCTATGTTATAGATAAAATAAAAGTTATAGTATTTAACAATTCATTAAAAAAATTTATAAAAAGCAAGTTACCAACCATTTGCAGTTTTAAATAAATTTCTAATTAATATCATACTGAAGTAAAATAAAAAACATTCTAAATCTAACTGTCTTCTGAAAATACGGTTAAATTTGACAAGTGTATTTTAATTATTACGCACATCATGTGTCAATTTGTATATAACTTATTACATTAAGAGCTGGTGGTAATTTACATTTGACACTAATATTTAATAAGATAAATCCATTTACCTGAAACACTTTCCTGCTCTTGTACGTCCCGCACGACCAGCTCTTTGTTGGGCAGAAGCTTTGCTAATAGGAGACACGAGCAATGACTCAACACGGATACGAGGATTATATACCTATTTAAAAATGTATTTTAGTAAGTTTATATTATATATTTCTCTTGTTAAACAGTACTTTTTGTTTGGCAAATCCAGGATCTATCACAAATACAACTCCATCAATGGTTAAAGATGTTTCAGCAATATTTGTGGAAACTACGACTTTACGTCCTATAGCTCCATTTGCCTTATTTGGGGGAGCTGCCTCAAAAATTCTTTGTTGTAAATTTGGAGGTAGAGTAGAATATAATGGAATACATTTTAATTCACCAACATCTGGACCTAAATTGTCAATTTCTTTTTTTATCCTTTTACAAGCTTCTTCAATTTCCTAAAACAAAGTTATTCATACATTAATACCTATAAATATTATATCTTATAAAAATTAAATAATACTTCTTGTCCTGTAAGAAATAGTAAAATATCTCCAGCCACTTCTTCACACATATGGATTTGAATTACTGTACGAATTGCTGCTTCTAAATAATCTCGTTCCGGTTCTGGAGTATAAAATATTTCTACAGGGAATGTGCGACCAGGAACATTCATAAGTGGGGCATTATCGAAATATTGCTGAAATAAAGAAATAAAGTAAGTTTGGATACACAAACCAACCATGTAAATAAAAAGAATGTAGGTAGTAGGTAAATTAATTTACTTGAAATTTTCCAGCATCTAATGTAGCTGACATAATAACTAATTTAAGATCCTTTCTTTGTTTAATAACTTCTTTAAGAACACCCATTAATATATCTGTAGCTAAAGTTCTCTCGTGAGCTTCATCTAGAAGAATAACTTGATATGTTTCTAACATGGGATCAGACATACCTTCACGGAGCAACATACCATCTGTCATGTATCTATACAAATATTTACGAGTAAAGATTTATAATTAATTATTCAATAAGCTGTCATTACTTTAAAAGTGTTCTGGATGAAGAACAATCCTCAAAACGTATACTGTAACCAACTTCAGAACCAAGGCAAACATCCATTTCTTCAGAAACACGCTGTGCTACAGACATAGCAGCTACTCTTCGAGGTTGAGTACATGCAACACCTTTGCGACCACATACTGAAGAATATTCTACACACCTAATAAATTGAATATTGATTGGATTATGTCCTTGGATAAAAATACACAATTTATTTACCATTGTGGTATTTGAGTAGTTTTTCCTGAACCAGTTTCACCAACTAGCACAATACATTGATTATTCTTTAAAAGACTCATAAACTCATCTTTGTACTCAAATACAGGCAATTGTATTCGTTTCTTATGAAGTTCAAAATACCTAAATGTTCAAAATAATATTATAAAGTATTAATATCGTAAAAGATGAATAATATTCAAACTAAAAATGTCCTAGCTAACTTACTTAGGAGTAAATGGTAAATTAGTGTAAGGATTTGTCTGTAATTGAGTTGAAGAACTAGGTTTCATATACACTTGTCCTCCTCCTTCAGCCCTGTACAAAATAAAAATCATGATTAATAAAGTATTTTAATAGATAGGTATTATCTTTCATACATTTTTGTCCATCACACGGTAAACAGCTTAATTTAATATTTTTTTTTATTCTATATCAATAAAACTTAGTATAATAACATGAAGTTATTTGTAGATTGATAGTTAATATAAATATATACTCTGTTCAGATTAAGATTGAACCGCTCGCTCGACCAAAACAAGTTTTTTTCGCGCATTCGGGACACCGGTGAGAGCGTATGCACGGCCGCCGACGACTGTCGGCCAATCACAGAACGCATAGCCGTCGCATGGGGGGTCAGGCACTGTTCAGCGGCTCAGTCTGCAAGCGCGAAGCCGTTTCAATCTTGACCTGAACTGAGTATAGTAGATACCACAGTGATAAATTTATTAGGATTAAGGGTGCATACAATGTATAGTAGATAAATATAGAGACTGATTAACAATATTTTAATAATTGTTTGATTACAGATAGATATTAAATGATTCTATAAAGGAAGATACATACTATTAGTACAGAAACCCACATGATATTTTAACCAATATATAAGTAGGTACTTTAATTAAGCACACCAAATATCAATGAAGAAACATACATATTTTAAAAACTTTAGGGTCACACATTACTATTATCGACTACCCTCCTAACATGCGTATAACACTACAGCTTGTGAAATGTCAATACTAAAGTTGGTTTGGTTAGTTGAATCACAGACAAAAAGCGTTTGAAAAAGTTTCAGCATAACAACCAATGTACAGTGAAGATGTTACTTGCATAATGTACATTAATATTATCTTTAATACATGATAACCATAATAATGCTTACTTTTTGTTTTTGGTGATGTACGGATCAATTATATCCAGACGTCGTTTCGACATGATGGTGGCGTTCGTTTCGTGTAATCTTCGTACACGTGATACTGGAACAAGCGGAACTCGTAAGACGGCAAGCTCATGCACGCCTACTTCAGATAGAATGTCTGGAAATCGTGTCGTTTGAGTCGAAACAATTCATTTATGTACGTTGAAACGTAGTGTAAACAGACAAACAACGACAATCAAAAATGGCAATTGGCAAACACAAAACAAGTAACATGTGAGATGCCACTGAGATTGTGAGCGCCAGGAAAATAGGTACGAGATCGGTAAAATGTTCACCGCTAAGCACATCGGGACAATACTGAAGAGTTAAGAGATAATGGAACTTGACGCCCGACGGGCGGTGAAGTGGCGGTAGTTGGCAACAATGTGAGATGTAAACAACAATCTCATGGATGCCGTGCACGGACTAGTCCGTCTAAGGCACTATAGAACATGGGTATGCTACGCCGCCATTTTGCGACTCAATTATTAATATCAACAATGATAAAATAAACGCGGGCAATTTCATATTCACATTTCACATATTATTATAATTATTGAATATTCATTTCACGTTATTTTTCTTAGGCCATCGTTCTGTTCCTTTTCTTATTTCTATGTGGTATCGACTATCGTGTGGTTTATTATATTGTATGTGAAGCTTTGAGATAAATATATTATTCACTTACATTATTCCAAATATAGTTATTATGGGAGCATGTACTGCTCCAAATTGTAGTAATTCTCGGAAAAACAAAATGAAATTGTTCCGTTTTCCTCGAGAAAAAACCAGGAAGGACAAATGGGTTCAGAATTGTAGGCGAGATAAGTGGATACCAACAACTCATTCAGAACTATGTGAAGTAATTATGTCTAAAATATAAATATTGAGTAGTTATTATAATAAATAGGTAATAATGTACCAATTAATTTTCATAAATGTTAAAATTAATAATATAATATAACAAAGTAGGTATATTACATAGTAGTTAATTATATTTTGTAATTTATTCCTGATATAGTATAGTATAGTTAATTGTATTTAGTTAGATATCTACCTAATAACAATTTATAATCATTATAGTTATATATTTTTGAATTTAGATCCACTTTGAAAAAAGTCAGTTTGAGTTGCATCGTCAGGATGGGATTGTCAAACTTAAACCTAATGCCATTCCAACTCTTTTTGATGTGCCAAATCCACCTGCTAGACTTGACACCAATAGGAAATCTGTTTATAAGGTATTTAATATTCATACATATAATTTTATGACTTTTTTAATCATTATAACACTATGCTTTATGCATATTGTGATTCATACAAAATATTGACAACTAACTTACAACTCACTTGGGAAGTTATTACATACAAAAACCTAATACTTTAATATTAAACATTTTATAGAATATTGTGTTAAAAATAAGTTGTGATATTAACATAAGGGACATTTTTATGTTAAATAATAAACATTTAAGTTAATTGTATCTCAAATTTAATAACTAAAAAAGTTTATTCCCTCTTATATACTAAAATATTTGTTTGCAATTTTTGTGGTTTTAACTGTTTAAGTACTTATTAGGTATTAATGATTTACTGAAAGTTCAGTTTTTCAGACTTCATATTTTATCATCAGTACCTACTCCAAATTATAATAGATAACTCTAATTTTTTAGAATACTGTAAAGAAAACCAGTACCATTTCTTCCTCAACAATTAAAACATCTTTGAGTCAACCAGATGCTTGTGTTAACATAACTCACAATTCTGCTGTAAGTAATAAACAATTTTAAATATACTGATTAAGTAGGTAGGTAGGTATGTAAGAATATTTTTTTTTAGTATGGCAAAAATCATTTCTTCTTACTTTTGTGTCACAACTGCTATAGTACATATCAGTTTTTTACTGAAAATGACATTAAAAGTTCAGTTTTTCAGATCTCATATTTTATCATCAGTGCCTACTCCAAATTATAATAGATAACTCTATTTTTTTAGAATACTGTAAAGAAAACCAGTACCATTTCTTCCTCAACAATTAAAACATCTTTGAGTCAACCAGATGCTTGTGTTAACATAACTCACAATTCTGCTGTAAGTAATAAACAATTTTAAATATACTGATTAAGTAGGTAGGTATGTAAGAATATTTTTTTTTAGTATGGCAAAAATCATTTCTTCTTACTTTTGTGTCACAACTGCTATAGTACATATCAGTTTTTTACTGAAAATGACATTAAAAGTTCAGTTTTTCAGATCTTATGTTTTATCATCATCAATACTTACAAATTATAATAACTCATTTTTCAGAATACTGCAATGGAAACAACTAACATATCAACCACAACAACTATGTCGCCAAGTCAATCAGATGATTGTATTAACATAACTGACAATTCTGTTGTAAGTAATGAACAATTTTAAAAATAGGTACTGCACTAGGAACTGCTTAAGTATATTAATTAAAATCAAAAATGATTTCTGTAACTAATTTTTATACATTTTAAATTAGAATATTTTTTTTTAGTGGGGCTAAATGAATTTTTTCCTATTTATATGGTTATAATTTGTATTACTTATTTTATTATCTGAAAGAAATATTAAGTATTCAGATTTTCAGGTCTTATATTTTATCATCATCACACTCCCAATTGATGTAATGTTAATTTAAAGTGATACCGAAGTGATATTTATTAGACACATTTAATTCTTAAATAAAGCTATTTTAAGCTAGGTATTCGTTATTTTAAATTAAATAAATAATAGTCATGCATTAGTTTATTATAAATTACTCATAATAAGTTTACTGTATGTATAAACCAATACCAAAAGCTGTAATATATATTCATATTTGTTTTGAAATAGAATGATGAAATTGCACGTCTCCAGATGGAAAACACAAATTTAAAAAACATTATTGAGGAAAAAGATGCTACATTACGTTCTTTTCTCAATGATGATCAGGTTGCAGCTACCAAAAAAACTCCACGAGAATGGTCAAAGGAAACAATCATTAAAGGGTTAAAGCTAAGATTTGCCCTTGGAGTTCATGGATACAAGTATCTACGAGATACAAATTACCCTATTCCTGCTTACAGTACATTAACCAAACGTCTTCGTGAATTTAAATTAAAATTTGGTATTTTTCATGATGTACTAGAGTTACTCAAGCATAAAGTTCAATCAATGGACAGTAATGACCGTTTCTGTGTTATGAGTGTTGATGAGATGGAAGTAAGTAAGCAACTTAGTTATGACAAAAATAGTACAGAAACATTCGGATTTATTACCCTCGGTAATGATAAGATGCTGGGTGGTAAACTTCTACTAGTAATTATAAGAGGACTTAAAAACAAATGGAAGCAGGTTATTGGTTGCCATTTAACTGATAGCTCCTTAGATAACCAATCATTTAAACAATTTATTCAACAGTGTATTGAATCAGTTGAAAGCTGTGGAATACATGTCTTAACTTTGTCATCTGATATGGGAAACACCAATAGAGCCTTGTGGAGTTCATTAGATGTTAAAGTGAAGAAAGATGGCATTCGAAAAAATACATTTGACTTCAACAGTCATAATATATTTATTATGCCTGACATCTGCCATCTTCTGAAGAACCTAAAAAGTTCTTTATTAAAAAATGATATTATTTTACCAAAAGAATATTGTGAAAATGAGGGTCTGTCTTCTCAAGTAGTGAAAGGAAGTTTTGTGGTTTCACTGTGGGAATATGAAATAAATTCAAACAAAGAATTAAGATCATTGCATCATCTAAAGCGAGAAGATATGTGGCCAAGTAATTTTGAGAAAATGCACGTTGGTGCTGCAATTAGATTTTTCTCTTTGAAAACCGCTGCTGCTATTGAATTAGCTGTTAAATTGAATGTACTGCCATCAGATGCAATCACAACAGCACATTTTATACGATTAATTCAGGAGTGGTTCAGTTTGACTACATCTAAAGTAAGAAAAACGTCAATTACTAAACGTAATAAGGAAAAGAAATATGACTTTCTTCTAAAAATAATTACAATAACTGAAAATACTGTTTTTGGGCAAGGCTGGAAACCATTAAATGCAGGAATAATTATGGCTACTCTAAGCATAATTGGAATTTGTGAGACCTTATTCAATAACGGTTTTGATTTTGTTCTCTCTCACCGCTTAACTCAAGATGCAATTGAGAATATTTTCTCACAAATACGGAGAAAAGCTGGAGCAACACCAACAGCCTTTCAGTGTCTACAAGCTCTAAAACTTATTTCAACGTCTCAGTTTATTTCAGATGTGGATCGAAGTAATTATTGCAATGATAATGATATTTTTCTAATTAATTTTTTTAAAAAAACTGGACAAAGCAATGATTCACAAGGTAAAAGCAATAATTTATATTCTTCTGTGAACAATTTGTATAACATTCCATCAGAAATATTTGTCACATTACATGGAAGTAAATTGATGTCCCAGTTTGAAATATATGAATTGAATCATTTATACCATTTAGGAGGAAGCATAACAAATCATTTATTAGGAGTAGGTTGTAATGATTGTTGTGTATTTCTCCAGGATAATTTACCTGATAACCAATTTTATGGTGCAATTAAATTCTTTAGTAACACATTGAATAAGGGAGGACTGAAAGTGCCTTGTACAAATTTATTGTTGCTTATTTTACATTGTGAAATTTTATATAGTAAATATAAAATGTTTATTTTAAGAAATTCATGTACTGAGCTTATTAAAAAAATTATATCAGATATTGATATAATTTTTCCATTGTGCTCTAAAGGTTGCAATATGAAACAAAGAATTGTTGAACGTTTTTTTTGTATACGATCATATACTGCAGTAAATTTTTCAGTTGACTGTAAAAAAAGGAAGAATATGTACGGTACAGCGTCTGCCAAAAAAAAAAATGTAGCATAAATATTAAATATTATTTGTTCATTATAAGTTTATACTTTATATTCCATGTTATATATAAATATTTGTTTATCTGTTTGTTTATAATAAGAATTAAAGACTGATTATTTAATTTTGTTTATATATATACTTATGTACTTACAATAGTCATTAACATAATATTTAATGTCAAAGACATGTAGCACTCATGTATATTTTGACCTCCTAAAGTACCATTTGTCTTCCAGAAATATGTAGGGACAGAACACATTTTTTACTTCAGAAAAAAAAGATAGCTATTAGCCATGATAAGGACCTTTGCTATTTTTAGGTAGGTCACTGGGGAGAATAAGATACTATAATATATTTTGTTAATTATATTAATATTTAAATTTTAAAGTTACAATAATTATTCATTTCACTGATACGATTATGAGTGGGTACATTTTCTTTATACTTAAAGAAAAAAACTGCAATTATAAACTATATTTAAAAACATTAAATTGAAAATATAATTTTTTAATCAATGCAATCCAAATATTGTTTTAACATTAATTAAGTTCTAATATTTATATACATATATTTTTTTAATGACTGTATGAAGGAGAAGTTAAAATTGAAAGCAATGTTGTATTACAAAAATACTATTCCTAATAAATTATAATATAGGTACCCTATGTATCAGTATCAGTCTTGTGAAGTACTTGTGTTAAAGTATTCAAATTCTTTTAAAAGTAAATATCTATATCTACATTGTGAATGCTTTTATAAGACTGAATTTAAAATATACATACCATTAAAATAATTAAAAAAAGTATTTTAGTATTTGATATTAAAAAAAAGTAATTGAATACTTTTACTCAAATATTTTACAACACTGCTAAGTGCTAATTACTTATTAAAATCCACCTTATCATAATAAGTAATTTTCTCTTCACTATTATTGTCTTTAAGAACATCAATTGCTTCATTTAATATATTTAATTTTTTAAGAAGTTGTCCATTTTCTTGTCGTAGAGTAAGAAGAAGCTCTTTTTTTCTCTCCATATTTAAGTCATTATAGTAAACAAATGCTCCATCTGCATCATCAGTTTGAATATTATTCATCTGAAAAATATTCGTTAATACAAAGATGTTACCATAAAAGGTATATTTTATTTCTAATGCAACATTTTGTAACATACTTTGTTCATTATAATTCTGTCTTCAGTTAGAGAAGTAGTGAATTAAACTATGTAAGTTGACTAGCTGCAAATGCAAATTAAATGTGTATTTTAGTTAGGTAATGAGAGTATTTACCAATATTTAAAAAAATAGTTTATAAAGTAAACACATTTTTAGTTATAAGTGTCGATAATCATAATGTAATTGAATATCTACTTACATAATACTTGAAGTCATGGCAAATATTTCTCATAATTTGGTAGATTGCTACTTGCTATATACCTAGTTTTTGTGAGTATAATATTTAATGTTTCATTTAATAACTATCTAGAAGTATAAAGTATTTAAATTTTAAACAGAAAACTTCAATAAAAACAATTTATAGTACGCACTACGCACAATAAATAATAAATATGAGTAAATGATAAGTGATAAACTGATAAATGAGTCGCAAAATGGCGGCGTAGCATACCTATGTTCTATAGTGCCCTAGACGGACTAGGGCACTATAGAACATAGGTATGCTACGCCGCCATTTTGCGACTCATTTATCAGTTTATCACTTATCATTTACTCATATTTATTATTTATTGTGCGTAGTGCGTACTATAAATTGTTTTTATTGAAGTTTTCTGTTTAAAATTTAAATACTTTATACTTCTAGATAGTTATTAAATGAAACATTAAATATTATACTCACAAAAACTAGGTATATAGCAAGTAGCAATCTACCAAATTATGAGAAATATTTGCCATGACTTCAAGTATTATGTAAGTAGATATTCAATTACATTATGATTATCGACACTTATAACTAAAAATGTGTTTACTTTATAAACTATTTTTTTAAATATTGGTAAATACTCTCATTACCTAACTAAAATACACATTTAATTTGCATTTGCAGCTAGTCAACTTACATAGTTTAATTCACTACTTCTCTAACTGAAGACAGAATTATAATGAACAAAGTATGTTACAAAATGTTGCATTAGAAATAAAATATACCTTTTATGGTAACATCTTTGTATTAACGAATATTTTTCAGATGAATAATATTCAAACTGATGATGCAGATGGAGCATTTGTTTACTATAATGACTTAAATATGGAGAGAAAAAAAGAGCTTCTTCTTACTCTACGACAAGAAAATGGACAACTTCTTAAAAAATTAAATATATTAAATGAAGCAATTGATGTTCTTAAAGACAATAATAGTGAAGAGAAAATTACTTATTATGATAAGGTGGATTTTAATAAGTAATTAGCACTTAGCAGTGTTGTAAAATATTTGAGTAAAAGTATTCAATTACTTTTTTTTAATATCAAATACTAAAATACTTTTTTTAATTATTTTAATGGTATGTATATTTTAAATTCAGTCTTATAAAAGCATTCACAATGTAGATATAGATATTTACTTTTAAAAGAATTTGAATACTTTAACACAAGTACTTCACAAGACTGATACTGATACATAGGGTACCTATATTATAATTTATTAGGAATAGTATTTTTGTAATACAACATTGCTTTCAATTTTAACTTCTCCTTCATACAGTCATTAAAAAAATATATGTATATAAATATTAGAACTTAATTAATGTTAAAACAATATTTGGATTGCATTGATTAAAAAATTATATTTTCAATTTAATGTTTTTAAATATAGTTTATAATTGCAGTTTTTTTCTTTAAGTATAAAGAAAATGTACCCACTCATAATCGTATCAGTGAAATGAATAATTATTGTAACTTTAAAATTTAAATATTAATATAATTAACAAAATATATTATAGTATCTTATTCTCCCCAGTGACCTACCTAAAAATAGCAAAGGTCCTTATCATGGCTAATAGCTATCTTTTTTTTCTGAAGTAAAAAATGTGTTCTGTCCCTACATATTTCTGGAAGACAAATGGTACTTTAGGAGGTCAAAATATACATGAGTGCTACATGTCTTTGACATTAAATATTATGTTAATGACTATTGTAAGTACATAAGTATATATATAAACAAAATTAAATAATCAGTCTTTAATTCTTATTATAAACAAACAGATAAACAAATATTTATATATAACATGGAATATAAAGTATAAACTTATAATGAACAAATAATATTTAATATTTATGCTACATTTTTTTTTTGGCAGACGCTGTACCGTACATATTCTTCCTTTTTTTACAGTCAACTGAAAAATTTACTGCAGTATATGATCGTATACAAAAAAAACGTTCAACAATTCTTTGTTTCATATTGCAACCTTTAGAGCACAATGGAAAAATTATATCAATATCTGATATAATTTTTTTAATAAGCTCAGTACATGAATTTCTTAAAATAAACATTTTATATTTACTATATAAAATTTCACAATGTAAAATAAGCAACAATAAATTTGTACAAGGCACTTTCAGTCCTCCCTTATTCAATGTGTTACTAAAGAATTTAATTGCACCATAAAATTGGTTATCAGGTAAATTATCCTGGAGAAATACACAACAATCATTACAACCTACTCCTAATAAATGATTTGTTATGCTTCCTCCTAAATGGTATAAATGATTCAATTCATATATTTCAAACTGGGACATCAATTTACTTCCATGTAATGTGACAAATATTTCTGATGGAATGTTATACAAATTGTTCACAGAAGAATATAAATTATTGCTTTTACCTTGTGAATCATTGCTTTGTCCAGTTTTTTTAAAAAAATTAATTAGAAAAATATCATTATCATTGCAATAATTACTTCGATCCACATCTGAAATAAACTGAGACGTTGAAATAAGTTTTAGAGCTTGTAGACACTGAAAGGCTGTTGGTGTTGCTCCAGCTTTTCTCCGTATTTGTGAGAAAATATTCTCAATTGCATCTTGAGTTAAGCGGTGAGAGAGAACAAAATCAAAACCGTTATTGAATAAGGTCTCACAAATTCCAATTATGCTTAGAGTAGCCATAATTATTCCTGCATTTAATGGTTTCCAGCCTTGCCCAAAAACAGTATTTTCAGTTATTGTAATTATTTTTAGAAGAAAGTCATATTTCTTTTCCTTATTACGTTTAGTAATTGACGTTTTTCTTACTTTAGATGTAGTCAAACTGAACCACTCCTGAATTAATCGTATAAAATGTGCTGTTGTGATTGCATCTGATGGCAGTACATTCAATTTAACAGCTAATTCAATAGCAGCAGCGGTTTTCAAAGAGAAAAATCTAATTGCAGCACCAACGTGCATTTTCTCAAAATTACTTGGCCACATATCTTCTCGCTTTAGATGATGCAATGATCTTAATTCTTTGTTTGAATTTATTTCATATTCCCACAGTGAAACCACAAAACTTCCTTTCACTACTTGAGAAGACAGACCCTCATTTTCACAATATTCTTTTGGTAAAATAATATCATTTTTTAATAAAGAACTTTTTAGGTTCTTCAGAAGATGGCAGATGTCAGGCATAATAAATATATTATGACTGTTGAAGTCAAATGTATTTTTTCGAATGCCATCTTTCTTCACTTTAACATCTAATGAACTCCACAAGGCTCTATTGGTGTTTCCCATATCAGATGACAAAGTTAAGACATGTATTCCACAGCTTTCAACTGATTCAATACACTGTTGAATAAATTGTTTAAATGATTGGTTATCTAAGGAGCTATCAGTTAAATGGCAACCAATAACCTGCTTCCATTTGTTTTTAAGTCCTCTTATAATTACTAGTAGAAGTTTACCACCCAGCATCTTATCATTACCGAGGGTAATAAATCCGAATGTTTCTGTACTATTTTTGTCATAACTAAGTTGCTTACTTACTTCCATCTCATCAACACTCATAACACAGAAACGGTCATTACTGTCCATTGATTGAACTTTATGCTTGAGTAACTCTAGTACATCATGAAAAATACCAAATTTTAATTTAAATTCACGAAGACGTTTGGTTAATGTACTGTAAGCAGGAATAGGGTAATTTGTATCTCGTAGATACTTGTATCCATGAACTCCAAGGGCAAATCTTAGCTTTAACCCTTTAATGATTGTTTCCTTTGACCATTCTCGTGGAGTTTTTTTGGTAGCTGCAACCTGATCATCATTGAGAAAAGAACGTAATGTAGCATCTTTTTCCTCAATAATGTTTTTTAAATTTGTGTTTTCCATCTGGAGACGTGCAATTTCATCATTCTATTTCAAAACAAATATGAATATATATTACAGCTTTTGGTATTGGTTTATACATACAGTAAACTTATTATGAGTAATTTATAATAAACTAATGCATGACTATTATTTATTTAATTTAAAATAACGAATACCTAGCTTAAAATAGCTTTATTTAAGAATTAAATGTGTCTAATAAATATCACTTCGGTATCACTTTAAATTAACATTACATCAATTGGGAGTGTGATGATGATAAAATATAAGACCTGAAAATCTGAATACTTAATATTTCTTTCAGATAATAAAATAAGTAATACAAATTATAACCATATAAATAGGAAAAAATTCATTTAGCCCCACTAAAAAAAAATATTCTAATTTAAAATGTATAAAAATTAGTTACAGAAATCATTTTTGATTTTAATTAATATACTTAAGCAGTTCCTAGTGCAGTACCTATTTTTAAAATTGTTCATTACTTACAACAGAATTGTCAGTTATGTTAATACAATCATCTGATTGACTTGGCGACATAGTTGTTGTGGTTGATATGTTAGTTGTTTCCATTGCAGTATTCTGAAAAATGAGTTATTATAATTTGTAAGTATTGATGATGATAAAACATAAGATCTGAAAAACTGAACTTTTAATGTCATTTTCAGTAAAAAACTGATATGTACTATAGCAGTTGTGACACAAAAGTAAGAAGAAATGATTTTTGCCATACTAAAAAAAAATATTCTTACATACCTACCTACTTAATCAGTATATTTAAAATTGTTTATTACTTACAGCAGAATTGTGAGTTATGTTAACACAAGCATCTGGTTGACTCAAAGATGTTTTAATTGTTGAG